AATATCAATGTCACGTATTTTAATTTAATTTATTAAAATTAAAGTTAAATTTTATTTTTTTATGTAATTTAATAACAAGAAGATACATTAATTATTTACTTAACTTGTACCATAAAAAGTAAAAATCAGAAAAATTCTTTAAAAATATATATAATATTAATTAAAATAAATCAATTTATAACTTTAAACAAACACTGTGTAAAAAATTTCTGTACAAAGCATGGTGAAACGAAGTAGGTTGGGTCTGTCTCAATCAAAAAATAACAAGTGTGATTGTGAGTACACCATGAGCATGACAGCAGCTATTAAGTTTATTGATTCTGAGAGACAACTTTCTTTAATATAACATTAATTTCATTGACTTCAGAGATGTTAATTATCTAAAGATATATATATATATATATATATATGCACATATTTTATTACGTATATAATTTAACACATATAATTAAGTGAATATGGAGTGGTTATACTCATAATTCCATAATATTATCAAACAAATTAAGCTTATACAGGCATATGCTCACGCACGCATCATCAGTTTTTCTTTTAAAAAAATCCAATTCGCTGTGGATAAGTATTAAGTCTAAATAAGTTTATAATGAATGTGCATCTGAGTACATGCTTAATATAAAAAGATGTGAGACAAGTGTGCAAACTTTACTGTGTTTGTTTATGTCACAGCAATTCGAAAGGATTTTCTCTACAGAAAAAGTTAAAGTCGTGTTAGACACATTTTTTATAAAATAAAAAAAGTGTTTTTTTAGGATAAATTATAAATTAAAAATATAATTTAAATATTAAAACTATTAAAATATATATTTTTAATGAAATTTTTTCATATATTCATTAATTAATTGTAATTTAGTAATTTTAGTACTTGAATTGTATTTTTTAATATGCAGTGCATACTAAAAAAGATAATAATTGATATATATTTTAATTTAATATATTGTATAATATATTTATTAAAAAATTATTATTTTTTAATATAAAATTAAAAATATACAAATTAAAAAATACAATCATACATATAATAT